AAGTCCCTGTAAGCAGCGATCTATGGACTTCATCTTATAATTGATGGAGAGCAATCGGTGGCGCCAGGGAATGATTAAATCTGTGTTTGTGTTTCCAAATGCTCTTGTTCTTTAAATGCAGTGGCAGTGGCAGCATAGTTTTTGAAACTACTGAAATGATCCCATTAAAATAAGCAGAGAAACACTGAAGTTTTATTGCAACACCCGCAATAAAGCTCAGTGGTGAGATACCCCCATCATGACCAAGGGACAAATTAGGGACCATTCATAACAGCCATGTGATATCAGCAACTGCGTAGGAAGAAGCAACTGAAGACCTTAAGAACTGGAGAACATCCAAATCCCCAAGAGCCACTCACTGGAAAAATGCAGCGGGCCAATCGTAGAGTGGAAGAAAGGCCTAAAAGTGTGTTCTCAATGATCCAGTGCAAGGGTGAGTCCAGGGGGGGACCATAATGCAATGAAATCTGATACTACTGGAGCAGTCTCATTACCCACAGACGACAGACCCTTCCAAGACAAGTCTCCACATTAAGAAGAATCTGCTGGGAATAGATTCCAGTTGAGGAGGACAAGAAGAGCCACCAGAAATGCTAAGAAATGAATAAGAAGGCCCAGATTGAAACAGAGGCCGCTGATGTCAGAAAGTTGCAAGTTCTTACTTCATGAGAACAGCAGAGGAATGAGCTCTGGAGCTACTGAAACCCGCCAAGCTATCTTGACCCCCTGACTCCTCCTAAAACTACATAAAAACTAAATTAACTCATTAAACTCAGCAATAAGAAAAAAGATCACAACTATTATAAGGAAAATAAAGTAGGAAACATGATGATGTTCCTGCAGATAATGAAAATGTACCAGAAAAACACATGTGGAAAACAGATGTAAACCATAAGCAAATATTTCAAAATGAGTTGAAAGAAATAAAGAGAATAATAAAAGCTATGAATGAAAGATAGAAATCAGAATTAGAAAAGTATCAGAAATGAATAAGGGAAAAAAGTAAGATTTGACAAGAAAGATGATATAACCCAACATAGAATTTTAATTTTTTAAAAGCAGCTCAAAAATGAAAACTCAACTACTAGGAGTAAGACACTATCCAAACACCATAAAATAGAAGATAAATAGAAGGTAAATAGAAGATAAATAGAAGGTAGAAAGGGGGGAAATTAAATCAGTAAGCAATTTTAGATTAAAAGAGTTCAGGAAAGTTGACTGATACAGAATGTAAAGAAGACACAATATAAGTAAATAGGAGTCCTCAAAGAAGAAAAAGAAAGCAATGGACAAAAAAAGGAGGGAGGGAGGAAAGAAGGAAGGAAGGATGAAGGATGAAGGATGAAGAAGGAAGGAAGGAAGGAAGGAAGGAAGGAAGGAAGGAAGGAATGAAGTTAAAGAAAGAAAGAAAGAAAGAAAGAAAGAAAGAAAGAAAGAAAGAAAGAAAGAAAGAAAGAAAGAAAGAAAAGATCTCAATACTATAAATCAAAAAGACTTGAAACTACATAACGAAGAGAGAAACTTTTCAGAGAAACTTGCGCAGAAGAGCCAACATCAAGATACATTCTAATAAAACTATAGGTTTTCAAAAGAAAACAGAATATTCTGTGGACATCCAAACAACAAACTCAGGTAGTTTTAAGAGAAAGAATATCAGATTTTTATCAGATTTCCAGGACAACACTTTATGCTATAAGCAGTAAATTAACAGATTTAATAGATTTAAGTGAATAAATTACAAATCTTGGATCGTGTATGGAATATGCATAGATTTGATAGCCAAGCAAGCTGACCCTCCAGTGAAAAGGCTGTCCCAGCTTTTCTGCTTTTGTACTTCACTGCTGTATCCCTCCCCTCCTCCCCTCTTGGTATCAGAGAATCTTTGCATTGGGTAGGCTCTTTCACAGACTCTAGAAATGGGCACCAGTTTTCATTTAAAATTGTGAGAGTTTAGGGACCTTATTCCCACCCAAGGCAAGATTGACAACCACATGCTGTTATAAATATCCAAGAACTCAAAGAATATTGTCCCTATGCACCTTTCATAAGTGATCTACTAGAGAATAATACTGCAAAGACATCGATATAAGAGCTGGAGATGTATTCTAGCCAACAAAAACAACATCAAAACAAGTGATGTGAAGAGACAAAGCAACCTTGAAAATGAAAAGCAAAACTGAAGGCATCATGATTCTGGGCTTCAAGTTATATTACAAAACTGTAGTGTCATCAAGAGGGTACAGTACTGGCACAAAAATAGACACATAGATCTATGGAACACAATAGAAAACCCAGAAATAAACCTACAACTATATGGTTAATTAATCTTCCACAAATCAGGAAAAAATATGCAATGGGAAAAAGACAGTCTCTTCAACAAATGGTGTCGGGAAAACTGGAGAGAAACATCCAAAAGAATGAAACTGGACCACTTTCTTACTTCATACACAAAGATAGATTTGAAATGGATTATGGACCTAAATGTGAGGCATGAAACAATAAAAATCTTACAGGAGAACACAGGCAGCAGCATCTTTGACATTGGCTATATCATCTTCTTTCTAGATATGCCTCCTGAGGCAAAGGAAACAAAAGCACAAATAAACTATTGTGACTTCATCAAAATAAAAACCTTCCACACAGTGAGGGAAACCATCAACAAAACTAAAAGGCAATCTACAGAATGGGATTACAATTCCTTTGGAAGATATTTGCAAATGATATATCTGGTAAGGGGTTAGTATCCAAGATATAAAAAGCACTTATAAAAGTGAATACCCAAAAAACAAATAATTCAATTAAGAAATGGGCAGAAGACATGAATAGCCACTTTTCCAAAGAAGCCATATCTATGGCCAATAGACACATGAGAAGATGTTCAACACCACTCATCATCAAGGAAATAAAAATCAAAACCACAGTGAGATACCACCTCACACCTGCCAGAAGAGCTAAAATCAACAACACAATTAACAACAGGTGTTGGCAAGGATGTGGAGAAAGAGAAACTCTCTTGCCCTGTTGGTGGGACTGCAAACTGGTGCAGCCTCTCTGGAAAACAATATGGAGGTTCCTCAAAAAGTTAAAAATAGAACCACCCTATGATCTAGGTATTTACCCAAAGAATACAAAAATACTAATTCAAAGGGATACATGCAGCCCAATGTTCATGGCAGAATTGTCTATAATAGCCAAATTCTAGAAATAGCCCAAGTGTCCATTCATTGACTGATAAATGGATAAGGAAAAGGTGGTATGTTTATACAATGGAATATTACTCAGCCATAAAAAAGCATGAAATCTCCCCATCTGCAACCATGTGAATGGAACTAGAGTATTATGCTAAGTGAAATAAGTCAGTCAGAGAAAGACAAATATTATATAATTTCACTTGTATGTGGAATTTAAGAAACAAAAAATATGAGCAAAGGGGAAAAAAAGAGAGAGAAGCAAACCAAGAAATAGACTCTTAACTATAGAGAGCAAACTAATGGTTACCAGAAGGAATGGGTTAATTAGGTGATGGGGAGTAAGGGGTGCACTTGCTGTGAGGAGCGCTTGGGGATGTATGGAAGTGTTGAATCACTATATTGTACACCTGAAACTAATATTACACTATATGTTACTTAACCGGCATTTAAATAAAAACTTTACAAATTTTTTAAGGGTGATAGACTTAGATATAGCCATTTCACAACCCCTAATGAATGAATAGATCTAGGAAATGATCGATAGTGGATGATGGCGTCATAAATGAGAACAGTAGGGTCTCCTCAAGAAAATACTCAACCTCACCTGCTAAAAATGATCAAACTGGAATCTTATCGATACTAACTACCTCACCGAAGAAATCAAAAAGGACAGCTATGTTAACCACACCTCATGAAGGCAATCATCAAAATCAAGACAGTGAAACATATGCAGGAAATGAAAAAACAATGGAAGAGGAATCTGCGGTGTAAAAGAGACTTGAGATACATGTCAAATAATCCTCACAAATGGGTCTTATTTGGATTGAATTTCAAACAAACTATAAATAAACTATGATAATCAGAAAAATAGGAAAACCAAGTATTTGAAAATATGAACTTATCCTTATTTGTGATGTAATAATGGTATTGCATGTATGCATGTAAATTATTTTTAATAAAATATTTACAGATGAAATAACATGGTGCCTGGGATTTGCTTCGAGATAATCCAGTGGCAGAGAGTAAGTGGAGGTATACATGAAAAATAATGTGTGTTTTATACATACACATATTGATAATTACTTAATCCGGGTGGCTCAATACACGATATTTTTTCTCCTTTTGTACATGTTTGAAATTTTCATTAATAAAACGTTGTGGGGTTTTTTAATGTTTCTTTTTGAGAGAGAGAGACAGAGAACATGAGTGGGAGGAAGGGCAGAGAGAGAGGGAGATACAGAATTCAAAGCAGGATCCAGGCTCCAAGCTGTGAGCACAGAGCCCAATGAAGGGCTCGAACCTACCAGCTGTGAGATCGTGACCTGAGAGGAAGTCGGTCGCTTAACCAACTGAGCCAGCCAGGCATGGCAGTAATAAAACGTTTTTTAAAAGACATCAGGAGCACATGCACTTTAATACTTCAGGCTTGCATGAGCCCTAGGAGAAATCCGTCTCCCGAATACCATTGAGCTCACAGAGAAACTGACCAGAAAGAGTGTGTGCAGATTGTCAAAGTAGCAAATCCGTTCCACACCTGAGTTTCCAACACATTTCACTCCGCTCTTCATTTTCCAAGTCAGGGGAATGTCTTGCATGAGGACAAAGATTGCAGTGACTTCTCCAAGTGAACTTTCAAGAATAAGGCTCCTTGTTCAATGGTCAACTTTGGGCCCCAGCTTGATAAGCCACTAACGTTGATTGTTTCGCGTGTACTTGCTATTGTGATTTGCAGAAAAGACAGACAGCCTTGGTTGTTGGAGTTATAAGTTACCACTCATTTCTTTCTTATTCTCCGTGTTTTCTTTCTAGATATTTCCACACAATATACTTAGGTATCCGCAGCCGGCAGAGCGGGGAGAGTGACAGATGGAGGTTTTACTGGAAGATGGTGTATGAGTGCGCAGATGTGAGTATGCTGCACTTGCTAGCCACCTTTCTGGAAAGCGCTCCACAGCTGGTGCTGCAGCTCTGCATAATCGTACAGACCCATAGCTTACAGGCCCTCCAAGGTAAGGGCTTGCAATGTGGTGTCTGAATGGGGGGAAAGCTTGGCTACGTTTGTCACAATCCGAGGGACTGCTCTAACGTGCTTTGTTGACAGAGGCCATGGTGCTCCCTGGTAGAAGTCTGGTATGTGACACGAGAGTTTGTGAATGATGCACATTTTCTGCTTTACAATTACTTGCTCTGGCTAATTTACGCAACTACGGTTCTGGCTTGCCTTCAAGCTGCTCTCTGAGTAGGAAAAAGAATTGTGATTTGACATTTGGTCGGTGTGAAAGCAGAGGCAGCAGAGTTTTTCTGGCTTGTATGGTAGAATGATTTCAGAAACCTTGGCGGGGGGGGATGGCCTGGCTCTCTCTCTTTCTAATAATATTTATAACACACTTGAATATTAGGGTAATCTCCAGAGTTCCCTTTTGACATTAAGAAACAGAGAAACAGGGAGATTAAAAGGAAGTGGTAAAGATGACCATAATATTGTTTTCAAATCATTGGGGAGAAAAATGTTGTCAATATTTAATAATATATTGTTTATATGTTAAGTTTTATAAAACAAATATCAGATTAATGGTTTTGTTTTGCTGTCTTGTTTGATAATCTCACTGGTCAGACTAACATTTGGAACAGATCTGCCCTGATGTTTCCTTAGGATCTGATGGTCACGTCTTTTCTACCAGCAAGAAGACAAGACGGACCAGATGGCTGGCTGGATGTTGGATAGATTGCCATTTTCTAAATAAGGGGTTTCCTGGTAATTTGTCAATTCTGCAACTAAACAGATGTTATGACACAGTTAATAGGTTATAATGTGCTGGCTTTGTTTCGATCTCATTAGAGCCTTTACTGCGATGTCCTGCATGTTCATACACGTTGCCATCCTGTTCTGGGCCGTATTGAACTTGAGATTTGATCTGGTGTGTCTGGGTAATCTCTGTAATGTCCTTGTAACTTTTTATAATGACAAGCGCATTAGTTTAGACTGAGCACTCTAACTGGCAAGGGGCGGGGGGCGTATTAGAGGAAAAGAAAACTGCAGAGTGTACCAGTACATGGGGACCTATTTCTTTGTGAATGTCTGGCCCACTCTGGCTCCACCACAGAATAGCTTTGGTCCAAGAAATTTGAGAAAAGGGTCAAAGAGATGCATGGGGTGTGATTCTCAAATGCTAGAAAGCACATTGGAAGAAAGAGAAAGGGGTGTGTTGGCATGGAAACAGATGAGAAAGCAAGACATATGAATTAGCTATGAACAATTCTTTTTAGTGGTGAAAGACCACAAGGTATACAGAGAGAGGATCTGGCTTTGGTTAACTCACTTTTTTGCCATGAGACCTTGTGCGAGTCACTTAATGTCTCGGGGGCCCCACTTCCCAGATGTAAAGGTCACAAATGAAACTAGGTGATATCCAAACTCCTTTGAGCTATATTCCATCCACATCAGTGACTGCCCAGTAACCTTACGGGCCACGTAAATATGCGTTAGGAAATGGTGTGTAAATGAGACACCAATTTAAAAGCAACATCAAACTAAATCTCTATCAAGGCATCTGGGACCTATCTCCAGAACAATTTGACAATCTCTTAGTGTAAGCTACACAAGAGGAAAACCCAGGCCCAAATGTGGAGGGTTGCAAGCTGCCTTCCTATGGCCCAAGATTACTGGATGTCCCTACAAGTTTTCTAAATGATTCAGAAAATCATAGAGGAGTTTTTACCCTAAAGATGCTGAAATAGAGCAAGAAAGGTGAGAGAGGGCCTAAGAAAATGAGATCACTTCAGTTCGAGAGTTTTATAGAGAAAAGGCAATCCTTAGTTTTTCTCCATTATTCATTCTCAACATAGGAATCAAAATTTCTGTTTCTCAGAGTTGTGGCTCTTCATTGACACCTGGTGTCCCCAGCTCCTCTGAAGCTCACATTTGCATGAGGCTTGCTCTGGGAGCCAGACCTCATCTTTGGCCAAGGCAAGCCATGCTGTCAAAACTGGAAAGCTCTAGGGGAAATATGTTCTGCAGCGCTCCCAAGGTGGTCAAAAGACTTGGCCGATTCAAAGATCACTAGGCTCAACGCAAGTCATCAAGCACAAGCTGAGGCATGAGCCTTCCAGGTGGAGCTTAGTGTTACATTTTAAACAAGGGAGGTGGGCAGAAAGTTACGTTGAAAGGCCAAACAGGGGAAGTACCTGAGAGCAAACAACAACCCCAAAACCTCCAGCAAATCAAGGCATTTTCAAGAGAAATCTGTCTTCAGAGAGAGCTCCCAAATTCAACCATCTGCTGATACATGATCCCGCTTGAAATGAACTAGCTTATAAATTAAAGGATGTGAATACATTACAGGAACAGAGCTTTTCCCCTTTAGGAAGAGAAAAATAAATGGGATAGAAGCTAGTCTGACATATATTTTCTTTTTTTTTTTTAATTTTTTAATGTTTTATTTATTTCTAGGAGAGAGAGAGAGAGACAGCATGAGCAGGGGAGGGTCAGAGAGAGAGGGAGTCACAGACTGAAACAGGCTCCAGGCTCTGAGCTGGCAGTCAGCACAGAGCCCGACGTGGGGCTCGAACCCACGAACCGCGAGATCATGACCTGAGTGAAAGTCGGACGCTTAACCGACTAAGCCACCCAGGCGCCCCTGACATATATTTTCATATATATTTATGGTATAAGTTTCTTGGGATTTATCTGTAAAAACAATATTCTGTAATGAACGCAAATAATCAATGGCATGAACCCTCTGAAGTATTTGCAAATAGCTCAGAATTAAAATCTTTAAAATATTCTTATTTAGTGGATAGAGAGCAATCCAAAGTCTGCAAGTCATTCTTGTATATGACTGTCTGGAATTATTTTTTTAAATTTTTTAAATTATTATTTTTTATACATTTATTTATTTTTGAGAGACAGAGTGGGACAGAGCATGAGCGGGGGAGGTGCAGAGAGAGAAGGAGACACAGATTCCAAAGCAGGCTCCAGGTTCTGAGCAAGAGTTCAGCACAAAGCCCGACACAGGGCTCGAAACCACAAACTGTGAGATCATGACCTGAGCCAGTTGGACACTCAACCGACTGAGCCACCCAGGCACCCCTGGAATTATTATTTTTTTAGGGTAGAGACAATAATGCTTTTTTATCCCAATTTCAACCATCTCTTACTCTCTGAAGTTCTCTCTTTTAAAAACCAGTAAGAAAATCAAACCAAAAAAAATATGACCTGTTAAAACTGATGCTTAAAAATTGTATTCTCCTTGTGTAAGTTGGCATAGCCCTAAAACACTGTGAGCTGTGAAAATCCTTTCTCAGCATTCCTTGCTTACTGAATAATTAAGTCAGAGATACCTCATTGTACTGGAGGCTGACAGGCTCAGTGGAGAGCCATGCAAGTAAAGCATAATTTTTTCAGTGTCCCCTGTCCCAAGAAGGGCACTTTGGCTTCTGTCCTCAGACCAGGAATCAGAGTAGAGCAGAAATCTGAACATGAACACCTAGTCTTTTCACTCCACGGTGTCACCTTAAACAGAATTGCTGCCCTTCATTGGATCTGGAATTTCCCTCAGAATATCTGTCTCTGAAGCATAAGAAATACACAAGACGGTCCAGTTGTACATGCATAGCTAAGATGGCGCATGGTGCCTGAGACCACTTAGTACAGCATCCTGTGTGTGCTTAGAGAGGGTGAGAGAGGAAGGAAGGAAGGAAGGAAGGAAGGAAGGAAGGAAGGAAGGAAGGAAGGAAAGGAGGGAGGGAGGGAGGAAAGAAGGAAAAATGTAAGGAAGGAGGAGGGGGAAATGAAGGAGAAAAGAAAGGCATGGAGAGAGAGAGGGAGGTAGAAAGACTGCCTGGTAAGCCGAGATGGGCAATGGTGTACCTATTAGTCTCCATTTGAGGACACTGCTCTTGGTGTTAAAGATGTAAGATGTGGTCCAAGGCCTGCCTGTCCTCTTTTCAAGCAACATCTCAAACCCATCCAGGACCATTGATTGTATCTACATGGTACAAGCGAAGGTAGAAGGCTGACTGTCTACCTTCTATAGAAAGAAGTTACGCTACTTGACCTTTGGGCAAGCTAGGCTAGAGGGTCTCTAAGTCACTTTTAGTTTTGGGAGTGCACTTCTCTGAACACTCAGTGTCGGTTGAGTAGACCCAGCCTCCCATAGTTGGCAGAGAAGATATTGATTCAAGTACAAACAAGCATCCCCAGGTCTTCGATAGCAATGTAGCATTGTTCAATGCCATGTTCCATGTGGCCAAAGGGTGTGCTCCATGGAGCAGCCCAGGGAGTGCTGGGCTGGGCCACCACACACTATGTACTTTTCCCAGTGAGTGTGTGGAAGCCACAGCTCCGGCTGATGCAGCACAGTCACCTGGTCACCAGAGCCGGGTGCATGCCCACCAGTGAAGCCATCATGCAGGAGAGTGATCCCTTAAAAGGAACTATCTAGGTAAACCGAAAGGAATCTGACCATCACTAGATGCAAGTGGGTGCCAATGTGCTAACCCAAGCGTTCCCCCTTTTTTTCAGCTGGCTTAAGCTCTTCATTTCCAATTTCCACCTTCACTTGTCATTATTAGAAAATCTCATGTTACACTCTCCATGCATTTGGCTGTGGTGTGCCGAGCGAGTGACAAATAAATGCCTTCCCACAGGCCATGTGTCCAGGACAGCTTTGTTGAGCAAGAAAAACACCAACGCCCACTTCGATCCTGACTTCTTCATATCCAAAACCCCACGTGTTGCCCCTTTTCCCAAGAGTTTATCCTTAAATATTTCGTGAGAAGGAATGAGTTTTCACTCCTGGGGGCGGGGAGAAGTTTCTAATGATTCATTTCTTCTCTCACGTCCCATGAGATCGTTGGGGAAGTCACATGTTAAGGGGCTGTCTTCAAACATCCAGCCCTGTCCCCAGAAAACGAAGGTAACTAAGACATCCCTGAAATGTGAAAAACACCTCATTTGCCACGTCCTGATGAGGACTTTCCAGACCCAAATCGTGGAGTGCCCAGTTGTTGAACTTTGCAGCAAAGGTAGAGCCACACCCGGCTACCTTTATGTGGTTCAGGTCAGAGAAGAAACCCAGCTACCTCCAGGCTAAGGTCCTTCCCTCCTCTGCGAGATGATTGTCTCCGCATGCGCCTGGTTCCACCTCTGGGTTCCTTCAGGAGAGGAGAAGCACAGGCAAGAGTGCCAGCCTGTGAGTGGGACTGTGTCCCACATCCCTTTAGATCTGTCTCCTTTGCAGTTGCTATTTTCATTAGTTAATTAACACATTTATCGAATGTCTATTATGTGCATGATGGTGTGTGAAGCTCTACAAAACTTGTCCTAAAAACAGTTCGTTTATTATTAAAAGTGTATAATGTGACATTATAAACAACGTGACAAAATATATTTAGAAACACCTAATTTATCCGGGTGTATTCTAGAATGTTCTATTCTCTCGATGGGATACTTTGAATGAGAGGAGCCCTTAGACTATATCTAGCTTGCCCTCCCCCACAGAGGGCTCACCGAGCCTCTGCTTGAGCCGTTGTTCATTATAAGACAGTTCTGACTGAATCACAGAACCTTCTGAAAAGGGCCTTCAAGGGCATCTAGCCCATCACTGTACCCGACACATGAATCTCTGATCAATTCCATCTTCACTCCCTGCATTCAGTTTCAGGGTCCACCCTCTCACCAGGAAGGCTACTCATTATCATAAGTCTCATAAGCAAAAGCTCTCCTCTCCAACTCTGAGAAGGCAGCACCCCATCCCCTCCATGGAATGCTCTTCCCAGTGCCCTTAGTGCCTTGAATGTTCATGCCAAGCAGGTTACTTTTAGTCCATGAGCACAGTTGTCTCCTGGAGTTGAGCTGAACATGTCACAGGAGTCATTGCGGGTTTCTGAAGCTGCTCATTTTAACTTCTTCCTTGTTCTTGTGACCACTTAGTTTACTTAGATGGCATGTAAGTTAGATGAAATCTGAATATGAAAAAGAGAGGTGTCTCTGGGAAAGCTATGCTGCATTTTTAGGCAAATAGATCAGACCAGAGCAGGGGAGTGCTTTCCTAACCACGTAGCATCAAAGCGTTGGGACCCCTCTCCTGTCACCTGTTGTCTGGCCCTCAGAGGTGGTTTGTGCTGCGCTGAGTGTGGTGGGTCAAGGGAGCTGCACCCTGGCCACTGCTCCCCTGCAGCGTGGTGTGCATGCCGGTAGCCACCTGCCCTCCTTTGCACGGTGCTTGCCAAGAGCTGTATGCAGATACCTTTCATGTCCTCAGACCACTCTGTGGGTTTTAGTATTGTATCTCTGAACATTAGCTGTCGGGTTTTTGTTTCTGTCTTTGTTCTTTTGCTTTTTCGCTTTTTGTGATGATATGTCAATTACAGTACCATTCCTAATCAGGAATGCAGACCGTGTTAGACACTCCGAAAGAAGAGATTTAAATCAGGCTGTCTACTGCATGGATGCTGAGAAGCTGAGAGGACAAAAAAAAGCAGATGTCATAAAAGTATGAGATTCCTAATGAAGGGGAGAAGCTCCAAACCCCAGAGCCAGAGGAATGAAAGAAAAGGAGCTCAGATCTCGGGCAGGGCACAATCTGATGGGTGTGGCTGACAAAGGGGCCGGGCACAGCAGCTGCCGACCTTGACATTGACCTGTCTAGAAGGCGGCCAGGAAGGGATGGAGCAAGGGCCCCTGGGCCTGGTGAGGTTGTGCGGGACCAAAAGAAGCTGAGGACAGGAGGCAGGATCTTTAGAGGCTGGTGACGATAGGATGTCCATCTGAGCTGGAATCCAGAAAGAGTCTCCTCTCCTACTGCCTTCCAAGCTCCTCCCCGTTCCACCTCTCAGCAGAACTTCATTGGAAACCAGATGGTTGGAGGCCCTGGAAAACTGCAGAAATTTCCCCAGCCCCCCAGTCCTCACCCTCAGGCAAGGGGTAACACATTCCCCATTCTGTTGTGTTACTTTTGCCTGCTTCCCACTGAGAAATGGTAACCAAGCTTGTTAAAGCCGGAACGACCACTGTATGAGACTGATGCAGAGGCTTTATTTAGATCCTGAAGGTTGCTTCATGTGAAAGACATCCAAGTGGCCGAATTTGGCGACGGATATGTCTTCCTTCAGCGTATGACCACAGAGCTCAAGTGGTCACACAGCAGTGCCCAGCAATCTTACCTTATCTCTCCCAGAGATTCACTGTCCTGCCCCCAAACTGTTTCCTACCTTCTCCTGTGTTCTCATACTCCCAGCACTTTATGTCTGTCTCTCTAAACTATTGGCCTCCCTTCTTCTTTCAGTGAGAAAATGGAAGCAGTCGACTAGGAGCAGTTTCATTTTCCAATCTAACTGTACCGCTCTACCAGCTTCTACACCGGTCCATCCCGCATCCCTCTGTTTACAAGGATAAAGTGAGCACTCACCTGCCCATCCACTCCTCCTCTGTGCTCGATTCCATTCCTGCTCACCTCCTCAAGTATCTTCTTCATGCCATTAGCCTCTCTCCCTCTCCTGCATTGTCACCTTTTCATTTTGCTGGATTGTTGAGAGCATCCTGCAATAACTCCCATCTTTATTAAAGGAAAAAAATTGGCCCTTATTACTTCTACCATAGTACCTTCTTGCTCTTCACAGACTCCTTGAAAGATATGGTCTACCCTCTCTCCTCTTCTTCGCTTCCTATTCTCTATATCTGGTTTTGTTTTATAATTTTTAAACTTTATTTTTGAAATAGAACACATGCACAGGAAAGGACACAACCATCATAAGAAACTGCTACCAAGAGAGGAATGTTAGCAGGCTTACAGAGGCTCTGCTCTAAACACATCCACATTGGCGTCTCCTCCATTCTCCCTAAGTATGATCACTATTCTGATAAATTGGTTTTCTAGGTTTTTGAGGTTTTTATACATAGAACCATACATTGTTGTACATGTGTGTGCATGTGCATGTATGCATGTTTCTGGGTTTTTATTTTCATTCAGCATTATGCAAGTCACCATAACTCACTCTCATGCTCTAAAAGCATTGTATGAACAAACCTCAGTTTATTTACCCATTCTGCTGTTGTTGATGGAAACCTGGTTTGTTCTCATTTTGAGAGCGTTATGAATAATGTTACCGTGGATGGTTTTTATGTGTCTTTACACATGTATACATATTTCTCTTGGGTTAATACTCAAGAGTGAAATTGCTGAGTCATGGAGTACAGGCACCCTGGACTTTCGTGGATGATGCCAAAGTATTTTCCTCGGTGGTAGTACCAAATTAAGGTCATTGCTACAGCAGTGAGTTTGTGTTGAGATTGCTCCAAATCCTCTCCGGCATTGTTGGTCTTCTCAATTCTAGCTCTGAGTGGGATCTCAGTGTGATCTGTATTTGCATTTCCCCATAACGATCAAGCTAAAAAGTGTCCTTGATTCTTCGCTGTTTCCTCACTCCTTTATCCAATCATTCAGTAAGCTCTATCCAATCCACCTTTAAAATATGCCTCCAAACTGATCCCCTACACCACCTCCACCACAACCTCCTCCAAGCCACTGTGTAACTCGACCTCTCCCACGAACTGTTCTCCCTGCCTCCTCCTTGTCTCCACACGGTCTATTTGCCATATAGCAGCCATAGTGATCATCGTATCTTTTTTCATTTTACTTCACTCTTTATTTTTTTTTAAATGTTTTATTTATTTCTAGGAGAGAGAGAGAGAGAGAGAGAGACAGTGTGAGTAGGGGAGGGTCAGAGAGATAGGGAGTCACAGACTGAAACAGGCTCCAGGCTCTGAGCTGGCAGTCACCACAGAGCCCGACGCGGGGCTCGAACCCACGAACCGCGAGATCATGACCTAAGTGAAAGTCGGACGCTTAACCGACTATGCCGCCCAGGCGCCCCTTTGCTTCACTCTTTAAAACTCTGGTGATTCTTCATTGCAGTGAAAACAAGTTCAACCCTTTTTTTTTTTTTTTAACGTGTGTGACAAGTTGCCCAGGTTTGGCACCTCAGCACCTTCTACTCTTCATCTCCTCACCCAAGTCTGATAGCACTAGCCTGCTATTTCTTAGATGCACCATGTTGGCATTTGCTGGGCCTCTGCCTTGTCAGTGCCTCTAATCCTCACATGACTCAGCCTCTTCACTCGGGACCACATTCAAATATCACTTCTAAAACCCACATCACCTTCCCCACCAATAGACTCTCCTTTTCTCCACACTCTGTGTTATTTTCACCATAGCCAATTGAAATTGTACTCATTCACATGCATTATTGCTATTCTTATTCTGTCACCCCTAGTGGAGGACAGGCTGTATGACAGCAAGGAATGTAGAGATGACACTGAAAAATAGAAAAGGTCTCAAAAAGTATTTGACTAAAGAATTTATGTAACTACCACATTCAGGTAGTTTCTCAACTGGACTAGGCAATACAGACTGCTGTTTAAGTTTCCATGGAAAATCATAGTGTTATTTTACATAGACGAAAGACATAATATAAGCTCCCCCATATACTGTATTTAAAAAATATATTTATTTATTAGAGGGAGAGCACGCTAGTGAGGAAGGGGCAGAGAGAGGGGATCAGAGGATCCAAAGAGGGCTCTGTGCTGTCAGAGCTGTGTTGAGGCGGGGCTCAAACTTACAAGCCATGACATCATGACCTGAGCTGTAGTCAGACACTCAACCAACTGAGCCACCCAGGTGGCCCCCAAATACTGTATTTTTACATATTTGGAAATTTTAAAATATTATCTTTTATTCTCTATCATTCCTGCTATTCAAGATAAAATAAAAAGCACAAATATACACAAAGGAGAAAATAAAAACCATCTTCCTGACAGAAGTAATAAACATCCTGCCACTGAGAAATAATTAGTGATTACATTTTATTGCTTTTCCTTATAGACTTCTTTCATGCTTTAGTATATGTTACATTACAATAGAATAAAATACGGCTACTGTTTTATAACCTCTTTTTTTGACAACACATCACCAACATACATCCAAAACTATGTGTATATAGTTCCTACACCATTTCTAACAACTATACTTTACCAACATGGATTACCTTCTTCTTTTCCATGAATGTTCTTTTTTTTAAATTATTAAGTTATCAAATTTTAGTAAGAACTAAATCTTTGTGCTGGCCTCCGTTTTTTCTCAAGGATAAATACCTAAAAGTGAAATTGCTGGATTTCAGGGCAAGCAGGGTTTCAAGGCTTTTGATACATACTTTCATTGGCAATTTTAAAGCACACTTCTTAGGAAGAATTCTGCAATGTCTCAAGTTTCTGATCTAGAAGCACAAGAAGTCAGTGAGAACAACAATCGTGATAAGGACCGAAAAATGAGCAAATCTCTTGATATCTAGGAAAGAGCTCTTAATCATGCCCATCGGAATAGGAAGGGCTTAATTCCAAGAAGTATCCTCATCTTTCCTTGTTACTTCATTTATCCACCTTTATAAACTTTATGAACTCTGTTCTCTTAAGCAGCAGCAGTTCATTGTTGATGAAACAAACTTTTAAGAACAGCTCCATCAGAAACGTTTTTTTAAAAAATTTTTAATGTTTTATTTATTAATGAGAGAGAGACAGTATGAGCAGGGGAGGGTCAGAGAGAGAGGGAGATACAGAATCGGAAGCAGGCTCCAGGCTCCGAGCTGTCAGCACAGAGCCCGATGCAGGGCTCAAACTCAGGAGCTGTGAGATCATGACCTGAGCCAAAGTCGGAGGCTTCACTGACTGAGCCACCCAGACACACCAGAAACTTTTGATTTGAGCTGAAATTGTAAAAAAAAAAAAAAAAAAAGGCAGACAGGTGTGTTCCTCAGAACACATGACAAAAATCTGACCAAAGAAAACTTATAAAGGGTTAACAGTACAAAACATATAAGACAGCAGCCTCTACCCTGGAACAGTTGAGATCACTTATGGCTTTATAAATATACTAAATTTTTCCAATAGCATTTAGTGTAAAGCCCTGCTGGGGACTGAAAAAATAAATAAAAGACAGCATGTCCTCCCTTCCAGGTCCTGACAAACTAAGTAGAGGCTGCAAAAAACAAGGTAACGTAGTGATGATGCCTGCGCTCAAAGGCTATTACACTTTCCTTCCTGGGAGCGTGGACCACCACTTGGCTCATACTAGGCAATCAATGGGTGTTTGTTGAATAAAATGAAGAATGAACACCTGCTATGTGGCAGAGACCTCTGCTAGGTATGATTGATACAAAAACAAATGACCCAGCCCCTGGTCCCAAAGAATTCGACCCACTGGAAAAGAAAGACCAAAAAGCCATTTTAACTCTATTATACTCTATGTTCTATGTGGCCATGTTAAGGCCCTTTGGTGACACAGAATGAACCCTTCTGGACAATGTTACAGGGGAAATAGAAATGCCATGCTTGCTGACTCTTCTCACAAAAGATGTCAAGGAACATTGGAACCATCATGGAAGCTTTCATGGAAAGAATGGCCTTCGAGCTGGGGTCACAAATGATGCCTAACATTTTTTCACTCTC